GAGGTGGACACGGGAGAACGGACTCAGGAGGAGGACGACGAAGAGACGAACAAAGGAGGGCAGTGCGGAGGTCGGTAACGGGAGACGAGTGACGAGCACGCGGAGGACAGGGACGGACACGAGAGTGCGGGACACTAGGTGGAGGAGACTGCGGTGGAGGAGAAGGCCAGACCGCCGGACGGGCGTCAGGAGGAGGAAACGTGGGACCAAACGCTGGAGGGGACGGAGTGTGAACAGGAGGAGAGGAGGGAAGACCAAGGGCCCGAAGGCCACTCACGGGTGGGAACAACTGCCGCTCCAGAGGGAGCTGCTGTGGTCGCAGCTGTGGCGGCGGTGTCTGCTGCTGCTGCGGCTGCTGCTGCTGCCGCTGCTGCCGCTGCTGCTGCTGCTGCTGCTGCTACCGCCGCCGCTGCTGCTGCTGCTGCTGCTGCTCCAGCAGGTCCAACTGCCGCAACTCCTGCCGCTCCCTCTCCAACAGCACCTGCTCCTCACGCTCACGCCGACGGGCCGCCTGGAGACGTGTGTCGTGGCAGTGGGGAGGCGGAGTGGACTCCGCAGAACCAGTGTCTCCTGCTCCAGTCTCCTCAGAACCAGCACCTCCAGTGCCAGCGCCTCCAGCACCAGCACCCCCAGAACCAGCACCTCCTGTGCCAGCACCTCCAGCTCCAGCACCCCCAGAACTAGTACCGCCAGTGCCAGGACCTCCAACTCCAGCACCCCCAGAACTAGCACCTCCAGTGCCAGCACCTCCAGCTCCAGCACCCCCAGAGCTAGCGCCACCTGCGCCAGCACCTCCAGCTCCAGCACCCCCAGGACTAGCACCTCCAGTGCCAGGACCTCCAGCTCCAGCACCCCCAGGGCTAGCGCCACCTGCGCCAGCACCTCCAACTCCAGCACCCCTCAAACGAGCACCCCCGGACCGAGTACCGCCAGTGGCTGCACCTCCAGCTCCAAAACCAACCGAGTCCACAGTAGCCTGTCGCGGAAGTACCGAAGGCTGCTGAGGGGACTGTGAGGAGGACTGCGGGGAGGGAGCCGCTACCTGACGCGCGACCGAGGGTAGAGGGGTAGCGTGAGACACACCTGACGGGGCAGGACCAGGGGGGGGTGGGGGTACCGGAGGAGCGGGAGCAGGGGGAAGAGAGGGTGCGAGGAAAAGGGGGGGAAGGGGAACCGGGAGACCTCGACAGGGGTACCTGGTGTAGTAGGACACTGACTCGTCGAACCGGACGTCACGGGAGTCTAGGAACCGGTGGAGGGGCGGGTGGTAAAAGGACCAGTCGGCCGAGGCTACCGGGAAACCAAGGAAGACACAGGGGACGGCGCGAGCCGAGAGCTTGTCCGCAGAGGTGTCGCGGATAAGCGCAAGGCAGCCCCAGACACGAAAAGCTGACCCAACACCAGGGGACCCGGTCCAAAGACTGGTCGGTGAAGCCTCTGGCCGCGAGACGCGCGGCTGGAGGTTCAGCTGGTGAGCGGCGTAGCGAACCGCGTAGGGCCACAGAAAATGGGGCGCACGGGCATGAATCATGGACGTGCGGGCGATGTCCATGACCAAGCCAATGCGGCGCTCAGCAACCCCATTCTGCTGTGGGGACTCCGGCAGCGTCCAGGACTGTACAATGCCCTGCTCGCCGCAGAATCCAGCAAGAATGCCTGAGCGAAACTCACCCCCACGGTCAGAGTGGAGACAGGAGACACGACGGCCACGAGTGCCCTCAGTGGCTAGAAGCCACCGGATCAGCGTAGAAGTCACCTCGGACTTCTTCGCGAGAGGAAACACCGTGGTGTACCTGGAGAAGTCGTCGACGACCACCAAAAAGTAGCGCTCCCTCTCAGGTCCCTGCGTAGGTGCAGGGCCCCAGACATCCAAATGGAGTGTCTGGAAGGGAGCAGTGGCCGGACGAAGGGAGGAGGAGTGCGGAGTGGCACGAAGACGGCCGGCGACGCAAGGAGTGCACGGCGGCGCAGGCGAGGGAGGGAGCGACGGGAAGACGCGAGGGAGACCTGAGACAAGACGGTGACTAGCCATAGTGCGGAGGCGGGGGATCGACGCGTGGCCAAGACGGTGGTGCCACAAGACGGTCCGGTGGGTGAAAGACCGGCACGAGCAAGACGCAGCAACTAGACCGGACACAGCAACCTGACCGGACACAGCAACCTGACCGGACACAGCAACCGGTGGGGACGCAGTAACTTGACCGGACTCTGCTACCGGGGGGGACGAAGCAACCTGACCAGACGCAGCTACCTGCGGGGGCGGAGTGTGCAGGACGAAGAGACCTGAGTGGGGCTCTCTGGTGAACGTGGCAAGAACTGCCCCGGTGGAAGAGTCCGTACAGATCGCAGTCCTCCCGTGCGCAGGAAAAGTGACTGTTATCCCCCGGTCCTGAAGGTATCCAACACCCACCAAGTTCCGAGAGAACGAAGGGATGTAGAGACTAGTGAGGAAACCAGAGGGGACAGCTGGGCATGGGAGAGTGGTCGAGTTGCGAGCAACTGCTGGTCCTGAAGTAGGATCAGCCAGGGCAGCTGGGACTGGATCCGAAAGAGGTGTGACAGTGGTGTGGTCGCGAAAGAAGCACTGGGACGCGCCGGAGTCCAGCGTGAAGGAGAGCGACGCAACAGCAGTCGTCACGGCTGGGCTAGTGACTACACAAGCACCTACACTAAAAGCGCAAGTACCTACAGTAGCAACAGGCAAAGCTCCTAAGCTAGGTACACGCAAGCCAAGAGATCAGTACGTGACAGAATAAACAGCATCCATAGACATATCAAACACAGGGTAACCACTACGAAACAAACCGGGCCAGATCGGGGGAGCCGACTCAGGCCCAAAACGCTCACGGTATAGGTCGTCGAGGCGACTGTAGCAGCGCGGTGCAGAGTGGTCAGGCCGCCAGCAGGTAGTGCCAGCACCAGGGCCGGTCAGGATCCGGTACTGGCAGGGGCCGACGTCCCGGCCACCGCGACGAGCCCCCAAGCCGGCTGGGCCGCTGCTGCAGCCAACGCTACCCGAACCGCCAGGCCGCCACGGCTGCTGAGGGCGCCACAACTGCTGAGGGCAGAGCTGCTGCTGAGGGCGCCACTGCGGCTGCGGGTGCCACTGCTGAAACTGCCGCTGCTGCTGTCCCTGCTGCTGGAGAACCCTAGTGGACGCCATGATAAAGGCTAGGAGCGGCAGGAGCTAGGGACGGCCACGAGAACAACTAGGAGCGCGAGGTGAAACTAGGCGAGGAACGGCTGGAGCACGGAGCACACTGAGCTAGGAGCGCCAGGTGAAACTAGGCGAGGAACGACCGGTGTTGGAACGGCTGGAGCTGAAACGGCTGGAGCTAGAACGGCTGGAGCGAGAACGGCTGGAGCGAGAACGGCTGGAGTTAGGCACGGCTGGAGCTAGGAGTGGCTGGAGCTAGAACGGCTGGAGTGAGAACGGCTGGAGCTAGAGACTGTAAGTGCGGCTGTCGACTGCCGCTAGTGGAGCCAGTGGCAGTGGAAAGTACGTGCGACAAAGGGGCTGCAGTACTGACGGCTGCGGGAGGTAGGGAACTGTGCAGGTCGCCCGGCAAGCAGGAACGCGGGCGACAGTTGCAGCCTCCCACCTTGAACCCTTTTTTTTTTTTTTTTTTTTTTAGGGTTTAATTAATTAATTTTATTTTCTGGCGCTAAAGCGCTGCGGGGCGCGCTGCCTGCAGGGTGTGCTGCCTGCAGGGCGCGCTACCCGCGGGGCGCGCTGCCTGCGGAGCGCGCTACCCGCGGGGCGCGCTACCCGCGTGGCACGCTGCCTGCGGGGCGCGCTACCCGCGGGGCGCGCTCCCTGCGGGGCACGATTTCTGCGGGGGGCGCGCTACCTGCGGGGCGGGGCGACGCGGCGGGCTAGGGGCAGTGCGCACAGGCGACGTTACGGGCTGGGGCAGGGCGCATGGGCGACGTGACGGGCTGGGGCAGGGCACACGGGCTACGCGACGGGCTAGGGGAGGGCGCACGGGCTACGCGACGGGTTAGGGCAGAGCGCACGGGCGACGCGACGGGCTGGGGCAGGGGCCACGGGTTACGCGACGGGCTGGGGCGGAGGCGCGATACGGAGGGCGTGGAGGGCGCGTAGGGGAGGGCTAGGCGCGGAGGCGCGGATGGCGCGTTACGGAGGGCGCTGAGGGCGCGTTACGGAGGGCGCGGATGGCGCGGAGGGCGCGGAGGCCGCGTTACTCGAGGCTAGGGCGCGGAGGGCGCGGAGGCCGCGTTACTCGAGGCTAGGGCGCGGAGGGCGCTAGGGCGCGTGGAGGAGGGCGCGTAAGGCGCGGAGGCGCTCTAGAGCGCGGAGGGCGCAAGGGCGCGGAGGGTGCGAGGGCACGTGACGGAGGGCGCGTAAGGCGCGGAGACGCTATAGGGCGTGGAGGGCGCGAGGTAGGCTAGGCTAGGCAAGGATTCTAAACCTACTCGTGATACCATCTCAGAAAGTGAATGCAACGGAATGTTTGACTTAGGAGAGCAAGGCATACAAATAGAAACCCTATGAGTGTTGTACTCCTTAGAGTGCTACTCACTGCAGCCTACAACCAATAACAACATTTGACAACAGGTTACATGCAGCGACTCGGTAACAAGAAAGGCAGTACAACAGTCAGAGTCACTGTAGAAATGCCTGTAAAACAGTTATAATAAGGGAATGTACCCCTTAGAGTACATGACTAGACTAGGACTATTTATATTCCTTGTATTCTATCTTTTAATTAACTTGGTCATTTACATTCACTATGATCTAAGTTCTTACAAGACTTCCGCTACCAACTCTACCAAGGCACTTCCTATCCTATCCAAAGATCCTTCCTCTAACACCCCTCTTGGCCAATATCTTCCTCCATGTGGGCTGGAACCGAACACCCATGGTTTGTTACGTTACACTATATCATTGCTCAGTACAGTGTGGTGACAAACCAATCATTGTAACCTGACATCCACAATCCTAAGCACGTGTACCGTACCACACATCCCTGCACCTCTCACTCCCGCTTGGCCATCTTCTTCTTCCTCGATCGCGGCCGGGACACCATATGACTCCCCTCACCCCCCTCCTGCACCCACGTGTGGCCTGATGTGCACCCAGTGTACGTGTATGCACTCCCCACTGGTCCCATTGTCCCCAGTGTTCCCATTGTCCCAGTTGTGGCTCCCGTTGCAGCACCAGCAGCACCTGCCAAAGCTGCACTTGCTCTGAAACCCACTTGCTCCTCTCTGGGCTGCTGTTGCCGATTCTGCTCTCCCTGCGCCTGCCCTTGCTCCTGCTGTTCCCGCTGTTCCTGCCGCTGCTGCTGTGCCTGCTGCTGCTCTTGTCTGTGCAGCTGCTGCTCCTCCTCTTCCTCCTCCTGCCTCTGCTCGTCTATCCGTCCCAGCGGGGCAGCAGACATGCTTCGCCACTGCTGCTGCAGCTGCTGCCACTGCGGTCCAAGTGACCCGTGTTGCTGCTGCCACTGCTGCTGCCATCCCTCCTGCATCTGCACCCCTCGTCTCCCGCGCCTGTGCTGCTGGTGCGGGTGCAACTGGTACGGGTGGGACTGCTGGGGACTGGGCCCCGCACAGGCAGACAGAGAGGGGCGGGTTGGCCCGCAATTGGGAACGGGAAAGGGGAAAGGGGAGGCGGAGGGGGAGAGGGAGGGGGAGAGCGGGGGCGAAGAATAGCGGGAGGAGAAGAGGGACGAGAGAGAGGCGACCTTGGCTGCTACAGCGGGATCCAAGCCCCCCTCCCACGCCTCTTCACCAGTGGCTGTGGCTGTGGCTGTGGCCGCGGCATCATCACAGCCGTTCACGTCCATCTCAATCTTGATCTCTGTGCCCTGCCCTGCGCTGCTGCTCCCGTTGGCTGCTGTGGCCCCGACAGAGGCGCCGGCACCAATGCTGCAATCGCCATCCTTGGCATCTGCTGCTGCTGCTGCTGCGGCAGCAGTAACAGGAGAGGATGATGGAGCATCGGCAGAAGCAGCTGCGGCAACGGCGGCGGCAGTGCCAGCATCAGCAACCTTAGGCGACCTTACCAGGTTCGCTGTATCCACCCTGCCCTTCTGCCAAGCCCTCAAACCAACACTTCCAGCCAAACCCGAGCTGCAGGTTCGGTAAACCCCGGACCAGAAGTAAGGCACGGAACTCGCCTCGGTCTGCGCCACATTCCTGGCACTCCACTCCGCATACCCCCCTGCCTCGCCCTCCCTCACTCTCTTCGCCCCTCCAGCACCCACTGATACCTCCCTCACACTCTCCCCCTCCTCCATCCCCTCCTCTCCCACACTCCCCTCCCCTCCGCTCTTCCACCCCCCAGAGGACCCACAGCGGGATGAGAGCTCGCGGTAAACAGCACTGGCGCTGCCCCTCCCGCCCACGGCGATCTTCGCCCCGATGCCAGCCGCCAGAGGGGTTCCCAGCCACACCGACGTGCCTGCATGGGCTGCTGCGCCTGCACGTGCTGCCGTGCTCTTATGCCCTGACGCATCCTTGGTTGAGGTTGTTGTGGCTCTGGGCATGCGACCACTGCTCGCCGCTGCTGCTGCTGCTGGGGCAGACGCACTAGGAGAGGGAGAAGCAGCAGCGGCGGCGGCAGCGGCGGCGGTGGCAGTAACATGAGGGGGAGGAAGAGGAGGGGCAGGACCGTCTGATCGTTTGCTACTGGCGCCGCTACCAGACACGGCCTGCCGCCCGTACGGGGAGAAGAGGCCGCTGCAGAGCTCCTTGGCCTGCTGCTCCACCGCCCTCTGCCGCCGCCGCTGCGCCGACCCAAACGCACGGTGCGAGTGCGCGTTCAGGGGCGGCGCTGGTTGGTGTGCGAGCGGGTTGACTGCAGAAGCTGCAGCCAGCGATGCAGGAGTAGCAGGAGCACGAGCAGCTGCTGCTTCTGCGGGTGCAGACAGAGCGAGGTCCAGACCGTGATGCTGTGACGACATCGAAGTAGACAGTGGGTGAGCAGCAGGAGGAGCGGCAGGAGGAGCAGGAGCAGGAGCAGGAGCAGGAGCAGGAGCAGGAGCAGGAGCAGGAGCAGGAGCAGGAGCAGGAGCAGGAGCAGCGGAAGCATGAGTTTCCCTTTGCTCCCCTGCTCTTTGTGATTTCTTTGCGGCCCACGACTTAAAGCTCAGCAGTCCCTTGCGGAACGATGGGGACGACTGCACACACGGACTCGCAGGCTCAACCACCACTGCTGCTGCTGCCACTGGCGGCGGCACTGCCGCTGCTGCTTCTGGCGGTATTGCTGCGGCAGGCAAGGCTGCGGCCACTGGTTCTGGCACTTCATCTGCCGCTACACAGGCGCCCAGAGGCTCTGCTACCGGAGCCTCTTGCCTGGCCGCACAATGGTCCCCCTTAGCGCGCTTTGCACACTCGCTCACTGCAGTGATTGGCGCAGCGACGGTAGCGGCGCCAGTGGGAGAAGGAGCAGCATCAGCAGCCGCAGCAGCATTACCACCACAAGCAGCAGCAGCAGTAACCGGAGAAGACGAGTCAAGAGGGAGATGGATGCAGGTGTCAGTCCGGCCCCTCTTAACCCCCTGCTTGGGACGCTGCTGCACAGTCATAGGAGCCATGGCGCCAGCAACTTCTGACGCTGCTGCTGCTGCTGCTGCTGCTGCCACCGCAGGAGCTGTAGCGGCTGCACGAGCAGTGGAAACATCAACAGCAGCAGCAGGTTTCACAGCTGTAGCAGGCACCGCCACCGCTGCCGCTGGCGCCGCCCCCGCAGCAGCAGCGGCGCTGGGTGTGGGCTTGGCATGAGCAGTAGCTCTGGAGACAGAAGCATGGAGCGATCTGCACCGATCCAACGGCTCCTGTAGAATCTCCCAGTGCAGGGGGGAGAAACACACCTGACTCCTCCCCACCGCCCCCACCAGCGCACACACGCTCCGAAGCATCTGCCTCACCACCTCGGACACAGCCGAACCTCCTGCCAAGCCTTTCACCGAGCCTCCTGCCGAGGCTGACGCTGGGGAGTAGGCGAGGCCCGGGAGGGAGGTGAGGGGGAGCAGGGAGTCGGCTATCCGAGGCAGAGTCATGAGGATAGAGGAGAAGAGGAGGAGGCGGATCGAGGGCGGGGGGGGCGTGGGAGCGGACTTGCGAATGAGCCTTAGGAGCCATACGGCCCATCGGACAGCTAGGTCTCTTGACCCCTCGTCCCATTTCTGCAGGGTGAGAAGCTGCGCGGAAGCTACCTTGAGGTTCCGCTCCATCTGCTTCGCCTTCTCGCTCTGCTGCGCCGCGCCCTTTCCTGCCACGTCAGCGCGCGCATCTACTCCGCGCTTCTCCCTCCCCCCTCCGCTTTTAGCGCCTTGCGCGGACGCCTTCCCCCCAGTGCTCAAATCGGTCGGAGCAGTAACGTCAGCGCCAATAGCAGCATCGCCTGCAGCAGCACCAGCAGTCTTCACCTTCCCCTTCCGCTCCCCTCCGCCCGACAAGCGCGAGCCCTTGCGCCTCTTCCCCTGCCCGCGCGCCTTTCCCCCTCCGCGCGACCTTGAGCTCTCCCCCTGCGACGATCCGCCAGTGCACTCGCTGCTGGCGCACCGCTCAAACCCGAAGCCGGGCGCGAAAGGCTCGTCCGCAACCGCCGCTTTGCCCTTCCGCGCGCTGTCGCTCCGCGCAAGCCTCCCCTCTGGCGCGGCACTGTCCTTCACAGCGGCGCCTCCACTGGCGTAGGGAGAGAAGAAGGCGGCGGGGCTGCCCGCAGCAGGGAAACGCTGAATGGAGCAAACCGTAGCCGCCGTAGTGGTAACGAGCGGGTTTGCGGAACCCGAGGTGGGATGCGCGCCCCGTCCCGCCTGCTCCCGCCGCACGCGCTCCATCTCCGCAAGCCCCTCCGCCTTCCGCCACGCGTCCGCAATCTTGTCCGCCCGCCACGTCTGCGCGCCGCGCACTGCGCTCACCCCGGGCCGCCTTTTGCCGCCTTTGAGGAACGCTTTAAGAGTGAGGTCGTCGTCGGGCTTTAAGTGGCCCGCGAAACCCGCCGGCTTCCACGCGGGCGGGCGGCGCCCCTCCTCGCACGCCGTGACTCGATACTCCACATGCCGATGCGCGTCGCCGCCAGACACGTTCTGCGATGGCTGCTGCTGCTGCTGCTGCTGCTGATCGTGCGGGCAGAGCTCGTCTCCTGCCCCCACCATCTTCTCCCACCCCTCCCATCCGCGCTCTCTTCCCCTCTTAACCTCGTCCCGTGCCGCCTCCTCTCCCTCCCTCTCATTCTCGCGCTCATCGCCCTTTGACGATTCCTTCTCCCTCTCCTCCCGCACGAATCCTGACGGTCTCGTTTCAATCACACCCCTGGCATCCTCCCCTCCCAGCAACCTCCCCCCGTTGTACTGACCGTCTCCTCGACTTCCCACGCCTATAGTCACATTGCCTGCAGTCACCCCATCCGCACATCCCCGAGGGTTCGTCTCCTGCCGCTTCTGATGACCCTCGGGATTGCCGACAGGGGAAAACGAAAAGCCCTGACCGCCGCAACCCCCTCCCCCGCCCCTCAACTGCAAGCCGTCAAGCGGACTCGGCTCCGCCTGCTCTCTCTTCCGCCCGCTTCCGCTGATGCGTTCACCCAACCCTAAAATTCGCGGACCGTCGCGCGTTGGAGACTGCGCTTCTCGAGACGCCGCTTCCGTCGATTGACGGCGCGTCGCGCTCTCGCCGTTCGACTTGCCGCCGACCGACATAGTAACCGGCTGATTGGCCGAGGCTTGCTCGAGTTCCTGCAAGAGCATGTCGGCCCACATCTCATCCCGATGCGAAGCATCAACTCCGTTTCGCCACACGCCATTGTTACCACCAGATTCTCGTCGCTGGCTCGCACTTCGATCCGCAAGCCCCCCAACGCCCGCATGCTCAGCTCCGCATGGGAACAACTCCGCCTCCGCTTCCCCCTCCACTTCCCCCGCTACCGCCACTGCCACGTCATCTCCGCCTCCGACTAGCACTCTCACTCCACCCGACCGCAACCTAACACCAGCAGACTTCCCACCTCCCCCGAGAAACGATGCGAAATCCCTAGTTTTGTCGAACAGCGAATCATGCTCGTCGCCAACAGCTAAACACTTCTGCTGTACTGCTGTCAGGTAAGCGTCGTCAAAACCACACCCGAGAGCCTTCTCGCGTGCAGAAAAAACATCATCAGCGGCCGGTTCTGAGGGGTGTCGCGATAAGGCGACCCGCTCCTTACTACCACGGCTAGCGTCGCAAGGGACGACCCCTTCTCGCTCACGCATGACTCCTATCATCGCGTCACGGTGCGTCTCCTTTTCGGGTTCGCAACCTTTGGCGACATTCGCGAGAGAGCTCCAGAGAATCGTCCCAGAGCCTTGATACGCACAAACGGGCCTAGCGACGTCTGCGACGGTTTTTTCGTCGTCGGCTGGCGACTGCGACCTAGCGCGAAACGCTTCAGCCGCGCACGGCTGGTAACCTAGGGGATGCCGAGAGTCACGCCAGAAATTCTCCCAGTCAAATCCGGCGGGGTTTGTTCTATGCAGCGGCGAGGCGGACTGAGACGAGGATTTGAAAGAATCGTGCCCGGAAATCCAAATCCCTGCGCGACTACCGCCGCTACCGCTACTGCAGTGCGCTTGAAACATGACTGTAGCTATATTTGAAGCGTAGTCAGCAGAAATCAGATTTCAACATGGACGCAAGGGAGCTATTACAGATGCTCTACTCTCTTACATGCCTTCCTAACGCTTCAACACGAACAAACGAGATTCTTGATGAGAAAGCTGACGACGCTGGTCTAACGCTGCAAGGGGAAACTGTCGTTACGTGGTCAGTCAGGAGGGTTTGGAAGAAGAGACGTTGGTTGGATAGGTCAGCAGACGAGAGTGGGCTCGCGGGGAAGGTAAGGGCCATGCGGGGAGCGGCGGCAGTTGGAGGGGGGGTGTGAGCGAGATCGCGCACAGCCTTGGTTGGTTGGAATTGGAACTTCTCCGAAACTCGGTGCGCGGAGCAGTCAGGACAGGAGGAGAGGGGGAAAGGCGGACATGGCGGAACATGGGGGAAGGGGATGGGAGGGAAGGGAATGAGGAGGAGAGGTGGACTTGGCGGAACATGGGGGGGAAGCGCGGGGGATGCCAGAGCTTCGGGAGCTTGCATGAAACCCTAGGAGGGGAGAGGAACAGCATCTAGCCAGCCAACCAACCAGCCCGCAGCCGAACCTAGCCTGTGGCCATGACAGCATGGTCCATTGGTGGTGCAGTGTAATTTCGATGGTCAGCGCTTCAGTGCGGGATTTGTGCGCTGGGCAAACCCATGGGTGAACGCGCACAGCATTCGCCTCGCCATTTGTCAGAAGATATCTTCGGCGGGCACGGCTGCACCGACAAGGATATTCGTGATTGTTGCGAGGGAGATGAAGCGTACGATGTCAGCTCAGCAACGGCATCCATCCATTCGTTAGCTTGGGGCAGAAAGAAAAAACTCCAGGCGAAACCATATCCACTTTTTTATGTGGCCGAGGACTCGATTGCCTTCCAGAAATGCACCTTGCTGGCAAACAGAAAGCCAGATTACGACTTATTCCATTGGACGCAATTGTAAGGCTCTCATCCCATTGTTGGACATCCTCCACTGTTCATGATGTGATCCCCTGCCTCAGCAAATTTCACCAATAAGAAAGCGGAGAATCGAATGTGATTCTACAGCCTGTCAGCATCGCAGAAATTATCCCCTTTCAACACGTGCTTTTCGGAGGCGAGCTGGAAGGAAGCAGAACATTACGGTTGTGGGAGGAATGATGGAATTTCACGCCACCAAAATACCGAATATTTGAGGTGCGGGCAGAATGCGAAATACTTGGAACACGAGACGACAGAAACAGCACAGCCAGCAGCGCCATGAAGGATACGTTAGCGAGTCGTGAAGATACGGTGCGTTGAAGTTTGCGATTCTCCTGTATCTAATCTCTATACGCTGTATGGAAACATTAGCTTACATCCAGAAGAAAGAGAACATTGCACAGAGAAACGACTGCAAAGGAAAAGCCAGAACAGAAGAAATGAAGCATAACAATGCGGAAGGGTGGGTTGAGTGTACGAAATTTGGTGAAGCACAGAAAATTCATTTCTTCAGGATGTTTTTTTTGGTGAAGGCACAACAGTGCAGGTTGCCTTGAGTTCTGCAACAAAGCATCGAGTGATTTCGACAACCAACAACACCAATTCTTCGCCTCATGTATCCAACATCAGCATACGCCATTCTTCTACAATACGTGCAGCAGAACGGGTTGCCCATTCCCTATTTATCACAATGCCGTGCCCAGTAACATGCAGTTGCCTCACATCTTCCACCATATACCTCAAACCTGAATGCTTGGCCACCCAGTGAAACAACAGCTCCCGATCCTTACCCCCAGTGCCCAACGCAAACTCATCCTGCCACTCCACTAAGAGCCGCCCTGGCGACATGTATAAGGCGTTTGTGAGGCCTGCTCCATGCAAACCCACCATTATATGAGCCGCGGCGAAAAGAGCCAAGTGTTTCTCAACAGGCTCGTGTGAGAAGTCACAGCAGGGCACGACACAATGGAAGCCGTTGCGACCCATGGCTTCCACCCAGGGATCGATGAATGTGATGTAACGATCGTCGCCGAAAGCTGAGCTCCGAGGGAAATACACCACGATCGGACCGTTGGAGTATATGCCTGGGACAGGCAGAGAGGCATGCTGCTGCTGCTGCTTCCGCTGCTGGTGCTGGTCTGACATGTGTGCTCCAGTGAGGCTCCCAGCATCTGCCATCACTGATAGTTCTTCACTACCTGAATTCCCAACCAATTGTCCCTTTCCTCCCACTGACGCTACCTTTGGCCCTTGAACTGCCAAGCTGCTACTCTCGGCCTTCAAGGGCCCAACAGAGGGAAACTCCAAGGTCCTTCTTGGGGTACCATCCCTAGCTTCCGATTGGCCGTGAGGCCCTGGAACCACAGCTCGGGCAGCTGGAAAAATGTTGAAGAGGGAGAAGGCGAGGGAGCGATAGGTTGCGATGACAGCAGGGAACTGATCAAAGCCAGGGAGAGAGGAGGAGCTGTTGTAAAAAGGGAATGCTCCACGCTGCCCATACGCCAGGTGGCGGAAGCAGATTCGCCGACTCAAACCCTGGGTGTCGCTCAGCCGAATCCTGCATTGGAATATTCTCCATAGAATCGCCACGGCTGATGAGGGATACTGGTTGAGCCTCTCATCCCCAAGGTAGAATAGCATGCACACACGCAACCCCTCCTCCTCGTCCTGCCCCCATTCGGCCCCTTCTCTCCCCTCCAGTAGACCCGATTTCCTGACTCCTCTGTCCTGCCCCAGGAGACGATCCTTCATGCTGCCACCTCCTCCGCTACTTGTGTGTTTTTCCATGGTTTCTGCAAGCCTCTCTTGCACGCGCTGTAAGAAGCGATTAGCGGACGAGCCAAGAGAAGACGACCCATGCCAGCCAGTCAGCCCTTTTCTGCTCCGCCCATTACCGCTGCTTCTTGCACCACCGTAACTCGCACCAGCACTACTGCCACTGCCACTGCCACTGCCAATGTCACTGCCACTGCCACTGCTGCTGCTGTTCCAACTATCACTCCCTCCGGCGCCACTGCCATCACCAGCTGCACTCAGGCGGTCAGAGGCAGCAGCAGTGCGTGGCGGTACTGGCACGCGGGGGAGCACGCCCATCTCCAGGAGGTGCAGCAGTGCTGGGAGCAGGTTGTTGTTGAGGAGGTGGAACGCGTTGTCCACGTGCCACAGACTCACCACCACTGCTCTGGGCCCCGTGGGGATGGGGATGAAGAGGGCGGGAAGTGAGGGAGGGAGGTGAAGCTGCAGGCAGGGAAACATGGTAAGGTGAAGCTAATAGCTCAGCAGCAGGTAGCGGTCACGAGGGAAGGGAGACAGGGGTGCCTTACAGACGAGCGAGAGGCACCGAGGGACGGAGGGGAGGAGAGCAGGGGAGGAAGGGGAGCATGATACAAGCCGATGCAGTAGGGCCCCTTTAAACTCACCAGTGGGAGCATCAACGCGCTGCTGGCAGTCCCGTTTAACGTCCAGAGTGCTGCTGTGGAACACTAACGTCCAATTGGGGCTCTGCTTCTCTCCCCATTCCACCAAATGCCGGTACGGTACAAGCCTGCTCTCCAGGGTCGGACGCCACCGAGCCTCATTGATACCATAAAAGTGAATCTCTGTGCCCTGAATTGCCACATTGTGGAGGTGAATGTTAAAGAACGAAAGGTCGTCGGTTCGAATCCTGGAGCATGCACGTCTGTTCTCAGACCAGACTCCATAAGAATGCACATCCGACGCTTCAAATCCGTCAGTATTCGATGCGGAGCAAAGAGCGCTTGCACTTGTATTCGCAGATTCGCTATGAGCACCTCCGCTAACGAAACCACTCCAGAAAGGCCACCAGCCGGAAAAACTCTCCCCGGAACGCGCAAACTCGTGCGCAGCGAGGAATTCTCGCGCCAAAAGCATCAGGCGCAGGGCGACGGCGCAGAGAAAGAGCGCGAAGAGGGGGAGATTGTCCCGCAGGTGCGCGTGCTTCTTTCCGCTCAGCCTCCGCCGGCGCTGTTGCAAGAGCTCGCCCGACCCTCGACGCTGCTTCATGGCGTCTGCGAAACTGCCGGCCATCACGCCATACGAACTTCGCGGAGACCTGAAACCGTCAGTTACAGGGATAGGCCCTGCAAAACTACCGGCCGTCACGCCATAGAAGCTCGTTGACGAGCTAGAACGCTTACGTACAGACCGTGATTCCTGGTAGCCTACGAACCCTCATTCATTGCAGCTTCACGAACAAGTCCGTGGAACGCTCTAATGCAGGCTGACATGCGACCTAGATAGACGCGAACCGAAGAGCCCTACAGTCACTATTCCAACCGTCACAAATCAATATAAGCTCGCGCGCAACAGAGATTGTCAAACCTCGCGCGTCATCCCGTCCCCTGTCAGAAAAGTTCGGAGAAGCAAGGACACAGGAGCTGAGGAGAAGACTATCCTGATAACGCGGAGGCAACCGTTGAAAGAGATTGCTATCCGTTCAGTAGCTACTGGCTCCGTTTGCGAGACCATCACTATTGGGATTGTTCGGGATAATTTGAAAGGGCTCTCTCGTTACAGTTATATTGTATTATGGGAATATGTATGGAAATTCAATGAGCTTCAGAAGTCAACAGCTTTCTTCCCAATTCTGATTTATATGTACGGTAGTTGCATAACTTTTCTGCAAACCGGTACCAAGCCTGACATTCCTAAGTCCTGTACTTTGTTGGGCAAACTCTTATCAAGCACAGTTGCAAGAATCTACATTACCAGAAGTAAGCAAAGGCACCTGCTTACATGGAAAAGGCATAATAATAATAACAGATTCCTTCGAATCACAAGATATTCCGAAAGGGCGGTATTTTACCAGGGCCTCAGCTGCTACACGCTTGCGTGCATAACACCCGCAGGTCGTAACTTGCCATTGATGTGATGTTTGGTACAGCAAGCATTGTCTGATTTGTACAAACCAGCGCACCAGTGCCATTTTGATAGGAACGGACCTGCTCAAACAAAAAAATCACCACCAGAAAGTAAAAAACAAGAAGCAAAAATCATACACAGAGCACACAGGCAAGGCAACATTGGGTAATGCAAGCAGGAAAGAAATACAAGGAGCAATCCCGGCCAATGATCAGAGTGGAAGCTGACCTGGCAAACAGGCCCTTGGCCCTGCGTGCCGGGGGCATTGGGGTCGCAGGTCCACCAGGGCGTGGGCACACACGACATGTAGCGACACCACGTGCAGTCCCCTGCCACGTTGCCCTTGGTGAATAGCACCGCCATGCAGAGCGAGAAGCTGGTGGGGGGGAGGGAAGGAGAGGGGAGCAGCGAAAGAGGAATTGATTGCTGGCTGCCACGTTGCCACGTTGCCCTGGGTGAAGAGCACCGCCATGCAGAGTGAGAAGCTGGTGGGGGGGAGGGAAGGAGAGGGGAGCAGCGAAAGAGGAATTGATTGCTGGCTGCCACGTTGCCACGTTGCCACGTTGCCACGTTGCCCTGGGTGAAAAGCACCGCCATGCAGAGTGAGAAGCTGGTGGGGGGAGGGAAGGAGAGGCAGGGGTGAGAAGAGGGGATGACTGCCGGCTGTCATGTTGCCCTTGGTGAATAGCACTGCAATGCAGAGCGAGAAGCCGATGGGGGGGGTGTGGAAGGAGAGGCAACAGCAGACATGGGTGGATCGGCAGCCGATGGGGGTGGGAGAGAAAGAGGAGGCAGAAGTGGGAAAGCGGAATGTGTACCAACAGCCATCTTGCTCCTAGGGACGAGCACTGCCCTGCAGCCTGCGCTGATGGGGGGTGAGAAGGAGAGGATGCAGCAAGAAGGGGGGATGAGTGCCAGCAGTCATGCTTCCCTTAGTGAAAGAGAACCGAAATGCAGGAAGGGCAGTGGTGCGGTGCAGTGACAGGGTCATGAAGCAAATCCCAGAGAGAACCTGCATGTAGACCTGGCAAGTGGAGTAGTGGACCATGGAACGCACAGGTGAGTCAAACCAGGGCGTGGGAAAGGCAGTGGTTCAGTGCAGTGCACTTACAGAGCCATGAAGATTATCCCGGAGAGAATCCGCGTGTAGACCTGGCAGGTCGAATGCTCCTTAGTCACGGGATCCCTCCCCGCCACCGCAATCGCCGTCGCCGCCGCCACGCCAGAGCTGTCTCGGAGGTCAATGAAGCCGTGTTGAGGTTTGAGCAGCAGAGCGAAGCCGAGGAAGAAGCCGGCGATGCAGCCGCCTATGTGGGCGAAATTGTCAATGTAGGGCATGAGGCCGATGGCGAGATTGATGGCTATGAGGATGAGCAGCGTCATCAGGGCTGAGAACTGCACGGGAGAGAAAGGGGGAGGGACCACCAGGGCAGGGGAGAGGGGTGGATTGAGCAGAGAAACAGGGGTTGAAAGAGAGAGTGGGTAGAGGAAAGGAGCTGGAGGGGTTTGGGAAAAAGGGAGCTGGAAAAGAGAAAACTAACCCCACCCTCTCATCAACACATGCATGCAAGCAAGCAACCCAAGGGCCAAGGCAAGGCCATACCCGATTGTCGTAGAGCTTCCAGTTGATCAGCAGCTCCGACAGGCACGCACCCACCAGCCCAAACAACGCTCCAGATGCACCCACGCTGATCTGACGGCAGGAAATCAACAGCAATTCCGGGTGAAATCAAGGCGATAGGGGGGCGAGGTTGGGTGGGTGGGTAGCAGGAACGGAGGGGATGAGGAAAACATAACGAGGGTGAATGATCCAAGAAGCATTTTCTCTGGATTCAGCATGAGAACATTCGTTTGTGTCTCCTGCAGGAGCAGATCGACTGGTGGCGCAGGGAGGAGATGCGTGTGCAGTGGTGGACATACCCCTGTGTCCAGGAAAGAGACAGGTGCAGCGCAGTGCTTTTGTAGATTTCTCACAATGCTACAGCATCTGTTCCGGAATGTTACAGTACAAGGCGAGTGTAGGGGGCGTACCTGTGTGTCGAGGAAGAGGCAGGAGAAGACAGCCGCAAAGACGCCACTGAGAAGGTAGATGACCGTTGGTCGCCCTGCCAAGGGAAAGCACAGGAGAGAGCACGGAGGGGGCAGCAGAGGGAGCACGGAGCACATGCAAAGGGACACAGAGTGGGCAGCATGGTGAATTAACGGATCACATGTGGTGGTGGTGGTGGTGGTGGTGGTGGTGGTGGTGGTTGCCTATGTCTATCTCTCCTCTCGACCTCGCACCACCTACGTGCACACCAAATCCTTCCCCAAACCTATTTTCCTTCAATTCCCTCCTCAACCGTTGACCTCACCTCTCCCGTCCCCCTCCCTAAACCAAACAACATCATTCCATCCAATTTTCCACCATTCCCTCGGTCCCAACCCATCCCGCCTCACACCACACCACACCACACTGCACCACACCACACCACACTGCACCACACTGAACCCCACTGCACCGCACCACGCACGCACACAGCCCGAACTCCTTCTCGAGGCGGTTGAGCAGGAAGGCGATGCCGAGGAGGTTACACACGAGATGGGAGATGCGCCATGCCGCATGGTATGCCGCTCACTTTCCTCACAACTCCCCAGAATTCCCTACCTCCCCCCTAACAGCTTCAGCCCATCCCCTTCCCCTCATCCCCGCGCCCCCCCCCCTCTCCTTACCGCGTCACGCCACACCACACACCACACACGTAAACACCACCGCACCACACACGTACACAGCCCGAACTCCTTCTCGAGGCGGTTGAGAAGGAAGGCGATGCCGAGGAGGTTACACACGAGATGCACCATGCCGCCGTGTAACCACATGGCCGTTACCAGCCGCCAGCCCTGGTGGTAGTTGGTAACCAGGTTACTGTTCAGCGCGCCCATCTCCTGAAGCCTGGAGGGTTGCGACGGCGGCGGGGGTCATACATGCGGACGGATATGGATAGACGACATATTTAGGCGAAAAGTGGTTGGTAACCAGGTTACTGTTAAGCGCGCCCATGTCGTGAAGCCTGGAGGGCTGCGTCGACGGCGGATGAGTCGTATATCCAGACGGATACGAGACAGAAGCGCAATAATCAGCTGCGAAACACCGAGAAGAGACGTCTGAGTGAGATGCTCGGAAGAGCAAAGGCAGGGGTGGAGGGGAAGAGGGTGGTGAGGGGGGGGTGTGGAGGGAGGGAGGGAGGGAGGGAGGAGGAGGGATAGATTGGCAAGTCACAGGTCGCTTACGTTAAGGCGGTCGGTCCGAAGAGAGGGTTGATATTAAGCGGCTCGAAGGAGAAGCGACCCAGCCACGGCAGCACGCAGCTCTGGCCTTGCGGGTGCGGCTTCGACGGGCAGTTGTTCACCGCCATGGTCACAATAAAGACTACTATGCAGGCGATTAATACGGTCAGCGCCAGCCATGGCACCTTCTTATACCACCGCGGTTTCCGCGCGGGATCCCGCGTGTTTGAAGGTGGAACAACAGGGGGGTATGCTGCCGGATTGATACCGGATGGGTACTCGGGCGGAGGAGGAGGCGGGTACGCGTACGGTACGATCGTACTGCCGGAAGCGTACGAGTGGAACTGACCCCCTTGATGATACGCGGAGTGGCTGTCGTCAGCGTACTCATTATGAGATGACACTATGGCGGGATGGGAAGGAGCGTAGGGGTATTCGCCGGAACGGGAGTGAGCGAGGGGAGCGGAGGGAGTGGAGGAGAGAGAGGAGGAGGAGCGGAGGCTCGTAGACGACGGCATCTCGACGTCGCTCGAATAGGGATCTGAGCCTCCGCGACCTACTATGCACTCATTGCGAAATAGATCGGACAATTGGTTCTACAAAAGTGAAGCGGGAAGTAAGCGGATGCTAAACTACGAGGTATTTGGTTCCTTAGGACTGTCCTAGAAGTAGGAGGAGCGCGCGTAGCAAGTGATTCCGCCAACAAGCGGTCAAGAAAGACGAAGGAACTGATGTTAGGGACGGAACCAATCGCCGTAGACCACAAGCTCCAATAGCTCACGTCAGAACCAGCATTGTAGGTAGTCAACTAGAGCTGTTCCAGGGCGTCCTCCCTGGCACAAGGACAGACAAACAGGAACGGGTCGTTTCTCTATGAGAATGCCGAGAAGATTCACCTGTATTAGTGTGAACGGGATTGGTGAGCATACAAGTTTCCGCCACGCTAACGCAAATCCTTACTTTCCGCTCATTCCACAAAGTGCGTGAGCTGAACGACGGTGGAAAAGAGCCGACTCTGCAGATGTTTCCGCGCGGGCTGGGCTTGAATGGTTTCGTTTGCCATCCTCCGCCAACATCAATGTCGGCTGCGACTTCTGGAGATTCCGCGCAGCATCTCTGCGCAGCATCATATGTGCACTCTTCCCCCAATCGCTGGTGTTTTGCCCCCCTTCAGTGGAAAAGGGGAGGGACAGAGTGATGCCGTGCGCAGTCACGGCAATCTCCGTTTCTGTGACCCCTTGTGCGCATCGCTTCGACCAATCACTACGAATTCCCACACGTCTGTTCATCACCGACCGACCACCAGCGAGATGACACAAACGAGCCCTGACATCCACGATCATGTAACGCGTAGTTGACATAGTAGAAGAGTACATTAGGAATTTCTGTACAGTTCCTACTATGACCTCGCACATTCTAATATCGATGATGGAAATGGATTCAACCACAAACAAGGAACTTCTTTTCGAGTACATGAGGATAAATCTTTCAGATTCCCAACTGCGCCTCGCTGTTTGCTGCAACACGCGGAAAATGGCAGACAGATGACGTGGCACACGTTGCAAATATCTCATGGTTGGGACCAGCACAGATGCGCTTTCCATTGCACTTTTTCACTTTCTTGACACAAAAGCCGGCGTAGATCTCTCATCTGATACTTTCACGTGACCTGGATTTCCTTTTTCTATCCGCCCGCATTGGCCGCGATTGGTGCACCATAACCATAACCACCAATCCGCACATCCACTTTCTATACCTTTTTCTTGCGTCCTCGTCAGCTCCATACAGTACTACAGTACCTCCTCTTCTCCTCTCGTCTCTTTCATTCCGTGATCTCTCATTTCTGATCTTCAGGGCATCACATCAAACGGTCTGCTCCAAAGTGCAGCACGTCGGCGTTTCCGAGGTTCGAATGAGGGTTTTCTGTGTGGTCTTTGGACAACCTCAGACGCTGATGACTTTCTCTTGCATCTCATTATTAGCTTGGTTCTCAGCTTAGCAGTCTTTGCAAGTCAGCTCGTTGCCGATTGATTGAGACGGAAAGTAATAGTGTGGATCGCCTGCTGCGCTTTGAGAAATGATCTTATTCATTCAAGCTGTTCATAGTGTAGTTAATCAATCCCGTACATCGTCTTTCTTTCATGACTAATCGCGCTACAGTTTATCAAGCACATCCCAAAGCCAAGCTCTCGTAGACTCACGAAATAACAGCTCCCTTATCATACCGCATCGCAATTTGTCTTAGCTTCATACCCTCCATTGGCCTTCTCAAATGAAGCACGCCGTAACCAGATTTTCAAATTCGTCCAGTCTAAAGCACTCCCTTAATTAGCTCCGTGTTCCGCCATGTTTCCTGAAAAGAGAGACCTCTCGTATTTCCTCCCCTTCGGCCCCGCGCCGAGCCTGAGCACGCTGCCGTCCGACGCGGGATTCGGCGGGAGCCGCGAAGCCGGCGTTACAACTGGCGTAGCTGCCGGCGGTGTCGCCGGCGGCGGCACGAGCAACGGCTTCAGCGGTGCTTTCCCGGCGGGGTTTAACACCGATGCGGCGAACACAACGGCGTCGCGGCTGTACGCGACGGGAGTGATTGACAGTAGTAACCAACCGGCGAAAGATAACAACAATCAGACGAACAACAACAATAACAACAACAGCGCGAGCGTGAGCAGCACGCGGCGAGAGTACGCGTGGCCGGGTACAGTGGCTCACGCGTTCGCCGCCATTGCGCGTGGTCCCGCCGCTAGCCAGGTGCGCTTGCTGGAATCAGCATCAGCTTACGCTGGTAAATTTACGAAGATTTTTTGTGTTTTTTTCAGAATTCTGTTTCCTGCGTTATTTCACGCGTTCCCTCGCTCTCTGGTGCTTCTTGTACACGTGGCAGGTGGCGAGTGGTGAAAATTTAGCGGATGCAATAATCGACATTCGCAGGGAGCTGAGTCTCAGCGATGGTAACCCGCGGCTCGCGAAAGGCCTCGCTGAATTCTTCGACGAGGTGAGTTCAACAACCTCGTCTGGTACGCGGGTGTTTTCAAGTCGAATCAGGAATGTGGAAATGCGCGTTTGCCAACGTCCCTTGAAGCATGAAATTGTCAACCCTCGCTGCTCGAACGACACTATTCTCATCCCTCTCCTCTCTGTCGCCTTCCCCCCTCTCGCCCCAAACGTACCTGCAGATTCTCTTCGAGGAGGAATCTCAGGAGTTTTTTTTCTTCACGCTGCCCGGAATGGCCTCGCTCGCTCTCCGTCTCCCGAGCCTCGTCTCGCAGCAGGCTCGGAGCGTGGCTCGGGCAGCCCAAGCCGCGGCGCAGTCTGGCAGCAGCGGGGGGAGCGGAAGCGGGGGGAGCGGGAGCGGAAGCGGCAGCGGGGGAAGCGAGAAGTGGCGGAGGGGGACGCAGATGACGCTGCAGCTGCTGAGGCCGCAGCAGCCGGGGCTTGTGCTTATAACGCAGGAGCTTGCAGCGGCGCTATTGGTTGGGGCGTTCTTCTGCGTGTATCCGACGGCTGGGCGCGCGCAGGAGAGACTCCCGGAGATCAACTTCGACCGCCTCTATGGGTGAGTGGCTGGGGGGAAGGGGGGGAAAGGGGGGGGGGGGGGGGGTGTGGGAGGGGGGAATGAGGGGATGTGTGGATACGGTGGTGGGCTGGATGAGTCTGGATGGGACATGCAGCGTGCCTTGATGTTGCGTTCTTCACGAGATTTAGTTCTTGCATATGTCCTTGCCTCTGTGCCTCCTCTCGCCCCTCTCGCCCCTTGCTCTCCTCACAGTGTACTTCCGCACCTCTCACCCTCCACTCTCCACGTGCCCACCCCCTCATCTGTTGCAATCCCCGAGGGGCATATACGAGGGGTCGCCGCAACAACAGGAGAAGCTGCGGTGCCTGCTGCATTATTTCTGCCGAGTCGTCTCCTCCATGCCTCAGGGCGCCGTCTCCTATGCTCATCTCTCACTTCCCCTTTCCCGTCCTCCCCAACCTCTCAGCGGCATATACGAGGGCTCGCCGCAACAGCAAGAGAAGCTGCGGTGTCTGCTGCATTACTTCCGCCGAGTCGTCTCCTCCATGCCTCAGGGCGCCGTCTCCTACGAGCGCAAGGTGCTGCCGCTCACCGCTGTCACACCCGCCACTGTCACGCCCGCTGCTGCTGCCCCACCGGCCCTCCACCCGTTCAACGCCCCCGGTACTGACACACCAGGCCACCTAAAGCAGCAGCAGCAGCAGCAGCAGCAGCAGCAGGATGTATATAGTTGGGGTGGGGAGGCAGGGGAGGGTGGATACAGGCACGGTTGTGGAGGGCGGGGAAGTGGGAACATAAGACAAGGCGGTGGTAGTTCGCCGCCCGGAAGCGGTGGGAGTGGTGGGCAGGGTGGGCGGCGCAGTAATGGTAACGGCGGCAGTAAGGGAAGTGGTAACGGCGGTGGTAACGGTAATGGAAATGGTTACGGCAGTGGTTACCACAGTGGTTCCCGAAGCTCGCCCATGCAGAAAAGCAGCTCCAATCGAAGCTCAGGTCCGACAACAGGCTCGGATCCGAGCCTGGGAGGGTCGTGGGGGAAGGGCGGGGAAGGAGGGGGGTTGCGGAGTGGGGGGAGCACCAGGAGCTTCGGGGGGAGCTGGGGGACGCTTCCCCCTCCCCCTGGCGCGGACTTCTGGGGGAGTAGGCGGATTCCACTCTGCGCCCTAGTGGTGAGTGAGAAGGGCGTTGGGGGGGGAGGGGAGAGGCGTGCTGGGTGGAAGGGGGATGTTGGAGATAAGAAGTGTGTTGAGTGGGGGGACAGGTCTGGGTGAGATATGATGCATACTTGGGAGGAAAAAACTGGAGGGATTTGTACAATTCTTCCAATCATATCACACCTGCTGGTGGAAGAGGGGTGCTGGGGGAAGGGGGAATGTTGGAGGGAAGAGTGGTGTTGGGTGGGGGGAGAGGGGTGGAGGGAGGTTTGGGTGAGATAGGATGCATAGCTGGGAGGGAAAACAGGGGGCATGTGTACCATGCATGGCAAGCATCCCATGGAGGAAGGCGGCAAATGCGACTCCTCCGAAGCATCCCAACACAAGCTCACATGCCCCCACCCACCCCTGCTTCCCCCGTTACCTCTCCCTTCCACGCCCACACCCCCCATGCACCACCAGGTGCACGAGCGCGGCACTATAGAGGGCGACGGCACGGGCTGTCTGCAGGTCGACTCCAAAGCATCCGAGGACACACTCACATGCCCCCACCCCTGCTTTCCCCATTCCTCCGCCGCCCCTCCCCCTTTCCGCCCATTGTACCACCACCAGGTGCATGAGCGTGGAACAATAGAGGACGACGGCACGGGCTGTGTGCAGGTGGACTTCGCGAATGCCTTTCTGGGCGGCGGCACGCTCGGCTCGGGGTGCGTGCAGGAGGAGATTCGTTTCGTCATCTGCCCGGAGCTCATCGTGGGAATGCTTTTTCTGCCCGCCATGGAGAACAACGAGACGATTGAGATCGTGGGGCCCGAGCGGTTCACCAGATACACTGGGTGAGTCAGCAAACACAATGGGTGAATCAGCAGGTGCAGTGGGTGGGTCAGCACATAGAGCGAGTGGTGGGTCAGCACATAGAGCGAGTGGTGGGTCAGCACATAGAGCGAGTGGTGGGTCAGCACATAGAGCGAGTGGTGGGTCAGCACATAGAGCGAGTGGTGGGTCAGCACATAGAGCTAGTGGTGGGTCAGCACATAGAGCGAGTGGTGGGTCAGCACATAGAGCGAGTGGTGGGTCAGCATATAGAGCGAGTGGTGGGTCAGCACATAGAGCGAGTGGTGGGTCAGCACATAGAGCGAGTGGTGGGTCAGCACATAGAGCGAGTGGTGGGTCAGCACATAGAGCGAGTGGTGGGTCAGCACATAGAGCGAGTGGTGGGTCAGCACATAGAGCGAGTGGTGGGTCAGCACATAGAGCGAGTGGTGGGTCAGCACATAGAGCGAGTGGTGGGTCAGCAGGCTGCCAGCCAGCCCTTGCTGCCAAACGACCACACCGTCTCTGCTTTTAACGTCCCTTCCTTTTCCCTCCCACCTTCTCACGTCATTTCCCCCACAACCCTCACCCCCTCTCTCCATCCACCCCTCAGCTACGCAGCAACCTTCAAATTCGCCGGTGATTTCATCGACACGGCCCCACGGGACTCCCTAGGGCGCCGCCAGACGCGGATAGTGGCCATGGATGCGCTCTCCCACGCAGCAGACCGCCAATTCCGCAGCTCCTACCTCCTCAGGGAAACCAACAAGGCCTTCTGTGGTTTCCTAGACCATGCCTCTGCCAGGGGATTCGCCGGCGGGTCGATTCTCGCGAGTAATGACAGTAATAGCCCGGTGTTTTTGGAGGGTACTGCGCAAATGTCCCTGTCGAGGGATTTTTTGAGTGGGGAAGGGGGGGCAGGGGGGGCTGTGTCGGAGTTTAGGAGAGGGGAGAGAGGGGGCAGTGGGAGTGAGGGGGAGGGGAGGGGGAGCGGTGGGGAGGAAGGGGGGAGGAGTTTGGGGGAGGGGCGGGAGGGGGAGGAGAGGAAAGGAGGGGGAGGGAATGAGGGGATGATTGTTGATGGGGGAGCGGTGGTGCCGAGGAAGAGTGGAGGAGGGAGGGGGGGAGGGTGGGGAGGGAGAGGAGGAATAAGAAGGTACTTTGAGAGGAGTGGAGGGTCGAGGAGAGGACAGGGGGAGGGTGCATCTGGGGGGGTAATGGGAGATATGGGTACAGGGCGGGGGGAAGGGAGGCAGAGGAGTGGGGAAGGCAGTAAGGAGGGAAGTAAGGAGGGCAGTGGAGGAGGGGAGAACAGGAGTGGTGAGGGTAGTGGGACGGAGAAGCGGAATGGGGGAATGCAGACAGCAGGAGATGACAGAGGAAAGGGCAGTGGAAGTGACAATAGCGAAGGGAACCCTGCAGATGCAGCCGCAGCTCGCCGCCCGAGTGAAGCAGCGCCTCGGCCCGTCAGCAGCAGTGACAATAACGAGGGGAGGAAAAGCCAGCCAAGCAACAGCGGAAACACAAACAACAGCAGCGGCAACCACAGTAGTGGCAACAACAGCAGCGGCAACAACAGCACGCACATGCAGGGCAGTAGCAGGGCCACTGCAGGCACGAGCTCTGGTTCTGACTCACGGCTCGGGAGAGAAGGGGGAGTGGGCGGGCGAGACTCGAGTGAGAGTGAGAGGGTGGACGGGGAGGAAGAGGAGGAGGAAGAGGAAGAGGAGGAGGAGGGAGAGGAGGAAGGGGAGGAGGTGCGGGAGGAGGATGGGTTTGTCATGGTGGAGAGGGGTGGAGGGAGGTTGGAGGGAGTGCGGGAGGAGTGGGGGGAAGAGAGAGAGGCGGAGCAACCACAGGGGATTGAGGAGGGGGCTGCAGGGACAGGCGGGGGTGTGGTGGGGGGACGAGGGGAGAGGAGGGAGATGGAGGTAGAGGGGGAGGCAGCCCCAATGGAGGAGGACTGTAACGAGGACAAGCAAGCAGATGTTAACGAGGCTAATGAGGACACAGAGATGGCAGAGGGAGGGGAGGAGGAGGTGAAGGAGAAGGAAGTGAGAGGAGTGAGAGAAGTTAGGGAAGAAGTGGGGGAGGAAGCACATGAGAAGCAGGTTCAAACAACAAGCCAGGCGTCTGGGGAGTCACCGCAGCTGGGCAGTGCCAATAGGGCGTCTGAACAGACTCCGTCCCCATCCCTGCCCTTCGTGCGCACTGATGCTCTCATGACGTCAGCTGGGGGTGTGATGGCAGCAGCTGGAGGTTTGGTGACGTCAGCAGGTGTTGCTGTGCCTGTGGGGTCGGTTTGCTTTCCCTCCATCTCCCCTCAGGGCACTGCCACGGGGACAGGGGGGACTGGCGCGGGCACAGGGGGGAGGACATGGGGATCAGGGGCAGCCACTGGTGGGGGGAGTGGGGGAGGGACGGGGGGAACTGGGGGAACGGGGGGAACAGGGGGAATAGGGGGAAGGGGTGGTGCAGCAAGGGGGGAAGCAGGAGGAGGTGGTGGTGCGGAGGGGGGCGGAGGGAGGGCGGAAGGCAGTGGGAGTGACACCCAAAGTCGGGCGGCAACTGATTCAAGCGGGCGGCATTTGTCTCTTTCTGGGCTGAGGCGGGCGGTGGAGGAGGAGGTGGTTGGGGCGGGCGGCGGGGGAGGGCTTGGGGAGCATGGGGGGCAGGAGGAGACGGGGAGTGGGGGAGGGAGCAGGGGGAGGAGTAGGGATGAGAATGGGAGTGACAGCGGGGGGAGTGATGACTTGGGGAGTGGGGACCACAGAAGGAGGGTCCGCGCTTTTCATACTGCTGCCACCGCTGCTACCGCTGCCACTACTGTCGCCGCCGTTGCTACTGCTGCCACCGCCCCTGCTGCTGCCACTGCTGCAACTGCTGCTGTGTATACACCAGCAGCTGTAGCAGGTCAAAGAACGAGTCCCGGGCATTCAGCAGCAGCTAACACTGAGGCTGCTGCAGCAGGGGGAGCGGATGCAAGGGCAGGACGGGAAGCTGTGGCAGGGGTGGGAGGGGTTGCTTGGGGGACGGGTGCAGAGGCAGCAGGTGACGCAGCAGGAGCAGCAGCACCAACCACAGCACTACCAGTAGCGGAGGCAGCGGCGGCGGCGGCGGCTGCGGCGGCTGGGGAAGCAGCAGCAGCGGCAGCAGCAGCAGCGGGCATGAGACCGGGGCGGCTGAGCCTGACGTTGCAGCACAACCGCATGGGCATAGCGACGGGCAACTGGGGGTGTGGCGTGTTTGGGGGCGACCTGGAGGTGAAGAGCATGCTGCAGTGGATGGCTGCCTCTGAGGCCGGCCGCCCCTTTGTGCTCTACTTCACGTACGCTGACCACCGCGCTGCCAGACTCAAAGAGGTGAGAAACTACAGCCACCTCTCACTACCCCTAGTCACTCCTGGTAACCGTGAGGATGAGTGCAGGTGAGGGAGGGTGGAGTAGGAAACACAAGTTTCCAACAATGAACATATGCTGGGCGTGTTTGGGGGCGACCTGGAGGTGAAGAGCATGCTGCAGTGGATGGCTGCCTCTGAGGCCGGCCGCCCCTACGTGCTCTACTTCACGTACGCTGACCACCGCGCTGCTAGACTCAAAGAGGTGAGGAATTACCACCAACGCTCACTACCCCTAGTCATCCCTGTGGTAACCGTGAGGATGAGTGCAGGTGAGGGAGGGTCGAGTACGGGACCCCAGTTGACGAGCTGTGGACGAGGCCTCAACAAGACACATACTAGGTTTCAACCTTTGTATTTCTTCTTTCTTTCCCTGCATTACATACAGGTGTGCGAGTGGCTGCTGAGGGAGGGGTGGAGCGTGGGTGAGCTGTGGACCACAGTGGCTGAGTACAGCCGGCAGCGGCGAGACCACCAGCTGCACCTGCAGGTGCCCCAGCAGCACTCGGATCACCACCACTCCCAGCACGAGCACCAGCAGCAAGGCATGGATTACCAGTACCAGCAGCACGAGCACCAGCAGCAGGAGGGACAGCATGGGCACGGGCATGGGGAGAGGAGGCGGCAGCGGTACGGCACTCCGGTGTCCTTCTTTGACTGGCTCATCCCCGTGCAACAACGTTCCGGTAGGTAGGTGGGCGGGTGGGCAGGCAGGCAGGCAGGCGGGTGGGCAGGAGGGCAAATGGGACTGCATCCACATGTGCATGCTCCTCCCCCTATGCTTCATTACATCTGTTTTGCTTCTGAGAGACAAGCCATGCAGCTTTTTGAATGAAAATAAACCAGCTGATGTAAGGGAAGTCAAATGAACTCTGAGAGGGCTTTGTGGACAGGAAAATGGAATAGGTAGGCCTTTTGTTGCCGCCCTCCCCTTTGAACGAGACTTGGAAGCAATCCGGACTAATCCTTGTGCTTCAGCTGCTCCCCCCCGCTCCTGTCCATCCAAACCTGTCAGCAGGTTCTCCCGAGCCTGACGCCAAGCGTGCCCGCCTGTCCACCTCCGGAGGTTCGTCCCGAGCCGTGTCATCCCCTCCCCGCACCTCCCGCTCCCTGCACACCGAACTGCAGTACGCGTTTGAAGACCCATGCCTCGTGCCTGAAGTGGGGGGGACCACGGATGGGCCCAGAACCGACCAGCAGAGTGGCCGTGCGGAGGGTGGTGAGGGTATGCGGTGTGGTGGTGTGGCGGATGGCAGGGGGGGAGGGGGAGGAGGGGGAGGAGGGGGAGGAGAGGGAGGAGGGGGAGGGGGGGGAGGAGGGAGAGGAGGGGGGGTGCATGGGGAAGTGCCAGGTGGGGTTGATGCATGTGTGCGGGATGAGGCACAGGGAGCAGGGCGCAGGGAGGAGGCAGAAGAAGCAGGGCAGAAAGACGAGCAGGGACAGCAAGCAGGGCGCAGAGAGCAGCAGGGGCACGAAGCCGGGCACAGGGACGCGGTGCAAGGGCGGGAGGACAGGGGCGACAGGGGAGGGAAGGTAGGGCAGCAGGAGACATGGGGGGGTGGGCACGTTGAGGCTCATAGGGAAGTGGGAGGCATGACCCATGCAGGAGTGGATTCTCAGGCGTGGCAGGAAGGGGGCGAGGAGGGGGCAGTGGATGAAGGAGTGGGAGGGCTTCGGGAGAATGAGAGCGAGGAGACACAAGGGGAAGGGCGAGAGGAGAGACAAGGGGAGGGGCGCGGAGAGTTGATGGCGCAACAGGGAGAGGTTCCAGTGCTGAATAGGGAAGCAAGGTGGCACGGGGATGGGGATGGTGGGGCCGCTGGGAATGGCAATGGGAGAGATGGGGAAAGAATGCACGACGAGGAGAATGAGGAGCAGGAGCCAGAGGAGGAGGAGGAGGAGGAGGAGGAGGAGGAGGAGGAGGAGGAGGAGGAGGAGGAGGAGGAGGAGGAGGAGGAGGAGGAGGAGGAGGAGGAGGAGGAGGAGCAGGAGGGGGGGAGAGGAGCGGCCATGCGTGGCCAGTCGGTGCCTCGTTGGGGAGAGTCCAGTGCTCAGAGCAGCAGACAGCACAGACAGCAACCGCAGCCGCAGCAGCAGCAGCAGCAGCAGCAACATCAGCCACAGCACAATCTGCAGCAGCCGCAGCAGCAGAGGGAGTCAGGCAGTGGGGAGGGAGTGGTGCCTGGAAGCGGTGGGGGGCCATCCCAACAGCAGTCAACCCAGCAGCAATCAGTCCAGCAGCAGTCTAGAGAGGGAGAGGAGACAGCAGCTGCTGCACACGAAACAGACGAGGCTCGGGCCGAGGCATGGGGTCAGGTGCGGGGACTGACTGGGGAAGCGGGTGAATTGGAAGAAAGGGATGGGGGGGAGGAGAGGGAGGAGAGGGAGGAGAGGGAGGAGAGGGAGGAGAGGGAGGAGAGGGAGGAGAGGGTGGGGGCCGATGAAGTTGAGGGGAGGTCTTCTGATCAGCGTTACCTGAGGGAGGTGCCTTCTGGGAGCGGCTGGCAGAACGTCTCGTTTGGAGATGGGCGGTCAAGATCGGACGATATGAGTGATAGTACCAATAGGGAAGCGGCTAGTAGCGAGGATATGAGTAGGTCGCAAGGGAGTGGGAGAGATGGTGGAAGGGCGGGGCGTGGATTGAGAGGCGGGAATAGAAGATGGGGGGGGAGGAGTAGAGGCTCTAGTGATGGCCAAAGGGTAATGGGGGAGCAAATCGACTCTGATACACCATCACTTGACAGTTTGGATGAGGTGTTTCGGGAACGGATGGGAAGAGGCAATGGGGAATCTTGAGAATGTGTATATTTACTACCGTAACTCAAGCTTTTAATCCCTTTCTATGTACCTTCGGAAACCTGAATTGTCGAGTGTGTTTCATCAAAACGGGTGCTTGTCTTGTATGTCATTTGATTCATCTAAAATATGACCCACATGCCACCGCTTATGATAAGAAGCACAGGTTTTCAAAGCCTCGTCTCTCAGTTCTGTACTGAGTACATCTCATACTGAATAATTTTCTATGCACCCACCGCCATGCGCCAGTCAACCATCAGTCGTCAACTCTCACCTATCGTACGGCAGTCATAGGAAGGGCAGATTCACTTCTTGGCAATTCTGAATTCCCCCAAGGTTCGCTCAAAACAAGGGACGGAAGAATTTGGGACGTCGCACGCAAGGGACGAACACCCAAAAAAACACACGAGAGCCAAGCCCCAAGCATCATAAGCTTCAACGTCAATTCCACGACTAGAACCTAACCACACCTAACTTTTTTAAAGCCCAAGTCTAGAATGGCTACTCTTCAAGTTCAAGATTCTTGAACTAGAATTCGCTACGGAACCAGGTAACCCGGTTTGGAACACCCTTCTCTCGCAGCCCCCGAAGGGGTGATTGGAGCCCTTGTTTTTGATTGGCTGAAACTACACAGCCACAACAGTCACAGCCATCGCCAGGAAAACACAAAACAGGAACTACTGTTCATACTTTCGGAAACTTGAAGCTCGGGACTACCTTTCTAGACTCCATGGTAGTGGGCTCCTAAGCCCTCAGAATCGGCTTTATCCCGTAAATGATTAGGCAAACACCTGTCACTCGACTACGAATCTTACGGTCAACGGAAGCATTACTCACTCCCTTCACTCCTGTCACTCGTAATCCTGACTCGCACATGCTGTTCGCACATAATGTTAGCGCAAACGTCCACAAGGTGGCTACATCTCGGCTTTCTAAGACATCGCTCACCTGTTCCCTTTTAGGATTCGAGCAGATTACACGCTCAAACCTGTCACTCACACGCTCCCCACTTCTCACAATACATGTATTTCCGTTTGTCTACGTCGCTCTGGTCGCTCCACGACCTCCCAGTCCTTGGCCAAAACTTCAACCGCTCTTAGCGCTCGCCTCCCTCCCGTCGCCTTTTAGGTGGCGCTCCCTTCCCGCGCCCGTCGCCCACGCTTACTTCTAGTGTCGCCCACGCTCTCCCATCCCGTCGCTCGCCGCTTTCCCTTCACTTCGCAAAAACTATCCCATCCCGTTCGCCCACGCGATTCCTTACCGAAGCCCTCGCCTAGCCTTCCCGTCGCCCTCGCAAGTCCTTTCCTAGCAATCGTAGATCGTGCTCGTCGCCCACGACCCTCGGATCAGACTCCCTCGTAACCTCCCTTCCTTCCCTCCATTCGCCTCCTTTTACCCCTCTCCCGTCCCCCACAGGACAACTCCCATCCATCCCTTTCCCCTCGCGCAGGTTCGCGATCATCGCTCCGCCCTCCCGTCCCTCATGTCGCCTCCGTCCCGCATTTCCTCTCGTGTTTCTCTTCCCTCCCGTCCCTCTCGACCTTCTCCGCCGCTCGCCTCAGCCCCACATTCGCATCGCTCACTCGATCCCTCCGCGCACTCCCTCACGTCGCTCGCTCAAACCCACCGCTCACAAAGGTTTGTCACCTCATCGGTTCCGTCGCTCACACACCCACGTTTGACACACCCGTTCTGCACACTCCCCCGTCGCACACTCACTTCGTCGCTCAAGAACTCCCGTCCCGCAAGGTTTGATCCTGTCGCTCTCGTTACCCGTTGTGGTCCGTCCATGTTCGTCACGCGCCCGTCTTCGTCGCTCCCATTGTTCGCTCACCCCCCTCCCCTCTTCCTCCCTTCTTCCCCTCCATACCCTGCCATGCGCCAACTTCTCCGCACCAATCTCCGCGTGCCTGCTGCGCGTAACGGTGCTGCAGATCCGGCTGGCGCTGATGATCGAGGACCCACGCGAGGCGGTTCGGCGGCCGCAGATGGGCATGGCGGGTGCTCTCACTACGATTCTGCCGACGCCTTCCTAGAGGTGCGGACGATGGGCGGGGGGGAAGGGAGATGTGGGGGAGTGGAACGAGAGGGTTGTGAGAGGGCTGGTAGTGGGCTGGGAGAGGGCTGAAAGAGGGCTGGGAGAGGGGAGGGGGGGAAAAGGGCGGGGAAGGGGGGGTAGAGGGAGGGGGGGGTGGGGGGGGGGAAGGGATGGAGGGGAAGTCATACACAACGAAATTGGGTTCTTTTGCGACGAGATTGCAAATTCATTCCTCGATAATCCGGGGAAGATGGGAGGAGCGAGCGGGAATAATCGCATGGAGGGGGGGTGGGGAGGGGGAGGAGGAAGGTGGAGGGAGGGGAGAAGGGGGGGGAGGGAATGGGGAGCTTGGTTGGTGATGAATGTGTGAGGGTTTCACAGCGAGAGGAAATGTGTGGTGACGGGGATTGCTAGTAGTTTTACCTTTTTCAAGTTTCAACCCCTCTCTCTTCTCCATCCCCTCAGAGTGCTGCAGGTGCGCGAGGGCATTATGCCAGCATACGGCATGGTTCTGCGGAAGCTTGACCTCCCATGTGACGTCTCATAACAGCCCCTCTCCACTTCCCCGCACTCATCTCTTCCCCTGCTGCAGGTGTGAGAGGACTTCCACCCCTCTCCAACACCCCTCTCCTTCACCCCTAACCTCTCTCACCCTCTCACACCTATCGCTCACTCACACCCATCACTCACTCACACCCATCACTCTCTCCTCTCATCACGTACTCATGCTTCCCACTCTTCCACTCCCCACCCTCCCAGCCACACGTCCTCCTTCCTAACCTGCCCTTCTTCTCCCCACCAGTGCCTCCCTTCCCTCCGTCTCACTTCGCCTTTTCCCTCGTTTTTCCCCCCGTCCCTCACAGTGCAGCCTGTCTCGTGCCTTCACTCTCAGCCCATCTCTCCCCGTCCTTTTCTACCCATAATCTCATTTCCGCCTCTGCCATCTTTTCCTACTCGCCACCCTCCCTTCCCCCCCCTTCCGTATGCGCTGTTTCTCCCGACTCTCACCCGTGCTGCTCCCACTTACCTCCTCGCCTCGTGTTTATCACTTCCCCCCTCACACGCCCCTTGTAATCTCTTGATAAACCCTACCCCTTCGCTCCCTTCCCTTCCTCTCTTCTCGTCCCTGCCCTCCCTTGTCCTCTACTACCTTCCCGCCCATCTCCACTCATCACTTCCCTCTATGCCCCTGTCCGCTCCCCCGTTTCTCATTCCAGGGATTTTCAAACTGTGCCCCTGACTCGCGTCTCACAGAATGCATGTGCAGCACCAACACTCACCGTGCGCGAGTGTGATCCTGCAGAATGATAACGGGCATGACATGGATTTGGCGAGCTCGTTTAGGGATCATGGACTTGACACTGCTCCCCCCTCCCTACTCGCTGCTTTCAGATTGCTCATCCCCACAATCCCGTTCAACCCCTACATACTCCCTTATGCCATATCTCTCGAATCACCTTTCTCGTTGTGTCACCCGTGGCCTTCCACCCGTTTGCACTTGCCCTCCCCTTCTTTCCTCTCTCAATACTCCCTCTTTCTCTCCTCGCCTTACCCTCCGCATCCCTGTGCATATCCCCCTTGAATGCATCCCGTTTCGTCATTCCCTCCAATTCCGCCCCCCATCACTCTCGTTTCCCCCCTTGTCCTTCCCTCCGTTTCCCCACTGTCCCCCCCTCCCTATCCCCTCGTCCTTCCCTCCGTTTTCGCCACTGTTTCTCCCGCCTTTCAACCCTGTCCGGAAGACCGGTTCCCCCCTTGTCCCTCCCTCCCTTCCCCCGCTGACCTTCCCTCCGTTCCCCCCCCTCCCCCCCTCCCTCCCTTTCCCCCGTGTCCTCCCTTCCGGTTTTCCCTCTGTCTCACCATCCCTCTCCCCCGTGTCCCTCCCTCCGTGATCACCCATGTTTCTCCCTCCCTTGCCCTGCGTCCTTCCCTCCATTTCCCCCCTTACTCTGTGCCTCCTCCTACGCCTCAATCTGCGTTTCATCTCTCTGCCTTTCGCCGGCCCTGCCCGTCGGCACCTCCTCAGTCGTGCGCTCCCCACCACCCCCCCCATTCCCTGCCACCCTCTGCCCCCCATCGTTCTGCCCATCGCTCCGCACGACTGTGGCGGCACACATAGCCTGCACCAGAGCTCGCCCCTCGGCCCACCCTGGCTGTGGGGGTGACAGGGATGGACTCGCGCCAGCTCAGGCCTGGGCAGGCAGGGCAGGCGGGGCAGCAGCAGCAGCAGCAGCAGTATGCAACGCTGGTGCCAACGCGCCAGTTCCGTGCTCCCGTCCCACTCCCGTCCCACTCTCTCTCTTGTCGCTCACACTCGCTCCCATACCCTCTCCCCCCCCTTTCTGCAGGATTATCCCCACATAACTTACGGGACAGGACATGCATTTGCATCCCCACTACTCTCCATCTGTCCGTTGATTAGAAGAAGAGTGACAATGTGCACCAGATTAGCCGCACCATTTTTGTATTGCGACAATGACAGGGTTGGAGCAAACACATGGGTCCATCCATGGTGTAGAATGTAGTGTTGGTCATGTATTGGCCTATGATGCCACCGAAACACACAGCTCCGTGCACTGCGTGTTTTAGGGATGGTTGTCGTGGTTGTAAGTACGATGGCAGAGCTAGTAAGGGTTCTCTCTGCTTGTTGTGCATAGTTTAGTTTGTATACCCCCCAACATCATGTGCACCTGTATATGGCGAGACATATTTGGCTTGTCGATGGATACATCCGGAAGAACCTAAACTGAAGGGAATTGTACCGGAATTTCACAACTTCAACGCCGACACTTGCTTGTCATACTGGCTACCTAGTAGCTTGAATGGAAAGGAAGAAAGGAAAATAAAGAGTGCTATAACCATAGCCATTTAGTCAGCATACTCAGGACCATGTAAAGGGTACGATTGCACCCGGATACTTTGGTCATTTGTCAAGGGAAGAACGTCATAGCGCGGTCTTGAAGAGGTGACATCAGGGACGGGAGCAGGAGGCTCCGAACATACGATTACGGGTTGGATTTGCCTTGAGAGGCTAGGAGGACGTTGGTGAAACAATCCTGGCGACTGGGGGTGGGGCAGGGCAGAGAAGGTGGCAAGGTAGTAAGGGTACAGACGAAGAGGGCCTGGGTTTATATATGAGAAAAGCCCTGATATGTTGGGGGTGGGGCGCGACGGATTTGAACGGAAGGGGAGGGAGAGTGGCAATGGAAAAGGGGAAGAAGAGGAGGATGGCTGCGCATGAGTAGTGTGCAGTCTCAGAGAGAGATGGTAAGTTGGTAAGGTAATAGCAACGGGAATGAAGTGGCAAGATGTGGTAATGGAAGGGGGGACCTGGGGAGGCTTATGAAGGAACAGTAGACACTAAGCTAGAATGAACCCACATGTCTTGGGAGAAGATGATGAAACTGTCGCCGGTATATATGAGTGGACCAATACACCAAATGTAATAATCATTGGGGGAGTAAGGGTGGAAGGAGGATGGGTTGTAGGAGATGCCGGAAAACTTTAGTTATGAGAGTGGCGAACAATAGTGGTGCGACTCCTACCTCAATAGTTGGCTGATTGCGTCCCCACTGCCTTTACTGCCACCGATTGTGAACTTTTGAGCCAGCTGCCCCCCGCCCTCCCTGCGCCGGCCCACGCTGAAGGTGGTTGTGCTGGGGCAGGGAGGCAAATGAGTCTCTGAAGGTGGTTCCGCCCCTTGTAATCTCTGGCTGCTGTTGTTGAAGTTGTGGTTGTGCTGACGCCGCACCAATAGCACTCCAGTTCTGCATGGGCAAGGGGAATGACATGATAGTTGACAGAAAACAAGGGGGGCGACAAGGGTTAGGAAGTTATAAAGGGAGGGTCGGATGGGAAATGGCATGAAAGGGAAGGGAGGTGGATAAGGTGAGTGAGGGATTAAACAAGAATGTGGCATGGCTTTATGTTGGCTATAAGTGTGAATTGCGTTGGCGGTGGGGTAAACTATTGTGTCTGCAATGAGATTGCTGCAAGGAGGTGGTGGGGGGTGGTGGTGGAATGGGGGGTGTAGGGTTTATTACCGATTTTGTAGCATGGGTTCCAACAACCGGCTTCGTGTGTTGACGTGGTATGCGGAATGGTAGTTTGGGTCCACGACGAACGCCGAGAGAGGTCCGACCACGCTTAGCGTGGGTGATTGGAGATGTCACCTACATAAAGAGTGCAAAGAATGATTCCATCTCATTATATGGAAGTTATGATGAGAGAGGAGAGTAGGCCTTTTGCGAATAAAGCGGGAAGCGACTTACTCAAACACCGTCGCGTCCGTGGTCGCGCCAGTGGGCGAGGGGGGTTTCCCCCCTCATGCAGTGGTGCAGGCGTGGCGGGCTCAAGACCCTCCCGGGCGCTGGTGGTGCTCCCAGTGACATCCGGACGAGTAGGAACCGTCTGCTCCCCATCCATTTCCCCATTCAATGTTTTGAGCCACGATTCCATTATGCCATCAAGCCATGACCAATCCATTGGCGCTAAGGTCCGATCCTTATTGCCACGCCGAATCCGTGTAATCTTTCGTTGACGCGTGCGATACCCTGTCACCAACCGATCCATGCAGTTGTTCCAGTGCAGAACAGCAAGCGCTATTCGTGCTTCGAAACTACCCCGGAAACGGATCCTCTTGGGAGCGTACTTGAGGATGACTGAATGAAAAGATTCGTTAATGGAACTAGACGCACCATGAACGAACATTTTCACCTTGTCCGGCCCGCACCGCTTTGCAAGCCAATCCTGCACCGCCTTGTGAGTATCCGAACCATTCTCGTAAATTGCAGTCTCGATGCCCCATCTCTCCGTCACGCAGCGAGATGTACGCCCTGATTGGCCACACCCCGAGTGATCGCCCGCCCAGTGGTTGGCTGCAAGCCCCAGCTCGTCGGCCACCTGTTCCGGTGTCATAGCTTTCCCCTCCGCCAGCCGTGCAGCACACCTCATCATGATATAGTGAAAGTGTGAAGCAAAACGTGAAGCCACAGTCACCCACCCGCATTATCGTTAGGGGCGAACGAATGCAATAATATCCAACAATTGGATAATTGCGTAGCCGCGAACTCACTAGCATCGAGATCGGAAGAGGTCCAAGGGGTGCTTCCTCCGATAAATTCCGATTGCACACCAGCCGACATGTGTGCATGCACCACGAGAGAAGAGGCGAGTGACGATGGCCGGGTGCCGCGCGCGGGGTGTACATCATACTCCCAGAGCTGGTCGACATCGCTCCACTGGACCTCCACCATCCTTTCTCCGGATTCCGGTTCCTCGTCCACATGCCCATCTGTCTCCACCACCCTTGGACCTTGTGTTGAACTGGCATGTTGTGCATTTGGCGCATCTCCGTACCCCACTGGAACATCAACCACTGTGCCACTGCCCCCAACCCGTCGCACTTTCCGCAGCTCCAAATGCTTCCACTTTGCATCGTCTTGTGTCATCTTCACATAGGTGAAAGCCCCCATGGCTTTGCACACTGACTGCACCAAACTCTCCTTCAGTGTCGCTTTGCTCTCTTGAAGTAGCCCTTTGTTTTTCAGCCACTGCTTCAGTCCCTCAACCGTAGCAAGCCATAGATGTTCGATCCTACTAGCCTTCTCTAGCGGAACAGGTTCACGTACCGCGTCCTGTAATTCCTTCCGAAATAAGTTGTACATCGTCTTCTTCACATGCCACGTGTCTACCTGATGGTTCAAGTTCCGCTCGACAGCAGCTCCCTTGAATGTGGTTCCCTGATCTGAAACAATCCCCTTCACCTCAAAACCCTCCGCTGCTAAGGCATCAAATCCTTTGTCAAACGCGATTCTCTCCAACTTCACAGACGACTTGTCATGGACATGTTTCTGTGTCGTTGAGCAGTACAGTATTTTCCGTGTCACGCTATCCATAAAGGATACTGTACACCACTCCCCCTCTCTCACATGGGACCATCGTCCATCCACCATGACAAATTCCACTGCAATCCCGCGTTTCTGCATCTCAGTACGCACCTCCCGCATCGATTTATCTGCTTCGTTTATAATCGCACTCCATAAGCCCTTATCCTCGCTAAGATGCTTATAGAA